TCCTTCCTTCCTTCCTTCCTTCCTTCCTTCCTTCCTTCCTTCCTTCCATCCATCCATCCATCCATCCATGGTGCACAGTGATTAGAATATAGTATTGCAGGCTAACTCTGCCCACAACCAGGAGTTTGTTTCTCACTGGCTCAAGGCTGACTCAGCCTGCCCTCCTTCCGAGGTGGGTAAAATGAGGACCCAGATCGTTGGGGGCAAGAGGCTGATTCTGTAAACTGCTTAGAGAAGTGCTGTAAAGCACTGTGAAGCGGTATAAAAGTCTGCTATTTGCTGTTGTTCTTTCTTCTCTCCTTCCTTCCTTCCCTCCTTCCTTCTACCCACCCACGTACCCACCCACCAATCCATCCATCCATCCACGGTGCACAGTAGTTAGAATGCAGCATTGCAGGCTAACTCTGCCCCACTGCCAGGAGTTCGATCCTGACTAGCCTCAAGGTCGACTCAGCCTTCCATCCTTCCGAGGCCAGATTGTTGGGGGGGGGCAAGAGGCTGAGTCTGTAAATGGCTTAGAGGGGGCTGTTACCCAGTTTGGAGAATGAGTCATCTGCAGGAAAACAAGCAAGCTCAGAAGGTCCCTTAAATCATAAATATTTTGAAATGAGAATTGCACACAATCAATGTAAGGAACATCTCTCACCACGGGGATGGAATTAGAGGCTGGGATAATTGCTTGAATCTATATTTTGGTTTTGCGTGGGGAGGGCTTAGTATTGTTCTCTCTTCCCATCTCTCGGCTGCGAAACCTACCTCACCGTCTCTGTTCTTGAAATTAACCTTCCTTGATTCTTCTTTCTGCAGGGCTAAAATCCAGCCGCTTGTTTTACAATTCTTGTTGTCATTGTTTCCCCTCGACTCAAAGAAGACTCAACAAACAAACACACACACACAGACACACACACACCACACAACCCAGAGACAAACACCAACACACAGACCGAAAGGTTTGCATTATCCATCACTGCCATTCTGACCGCAGAATCGGTGAAACCAGCCAAAGCTGCAGGCTTGAACGTTGAGGAGAACATCCATCAACTCGATCTCTGGAGGGTTTGCTCGACCATTCTGCTCTGGAAGAAAACCTCACCTTCCCATCCAGGAAAAGAAAAAAAGAAGAAGAAGAAGAAGAAGAAGAAGAAGGCAAAATGGAAAACGGATCTCTCTGCACCTCCCAGCAGGACGGATCACAATTCCGATAGAGAACGGCAAGTTTAGGCCAACTGGATTTGCTTCTTTGTGGACTCTTCAGCATAGATGGTGCCAAGTTGGGAGATGAAGGTCAAGAGAAGAGGAAAGAAAGGGGAAATGGGCACCAAAAAAAACAAGAACCAAAAAGGTGTTCTGAATGAAAATCTCCAGGATATTTCATATGATAGTATAGTTCTTTAAAAAGGCACTTTTTTCTCCCTTCCTTCCTTCCTTCCTTCCTTCCTTCCTTCCTTCCTTCCTTCCTT